GAGTCTGGAGCCTTGAAGTCTAAGTATAGACCCTCAAGTACAAGTCGAGCCTTAGTCTAATATAGACCCAATACAAGTCTGATCCTGATCTAAGTATACTCCTCCAGGTTACAGATTCCTTGGCCTCTGACCCTGATTAACCCCAGATGACAGAGTCTGGATCCTTGAGTCTTGAGAAGACCAAGTACAGACTGAGGCCTTGGCCTAGAGTATAGACCCAGAGTATCAAGTCTCGATCCTTGATTCCAGAGTATAGACCCAAGTACAGAGCTGGGCCTTAGGCTGAGTGTATGGACCCCAGAGTACAGAGTTGATCCTTGAGTCTAGAGTATAGACCCCAGGGTACAGAGTCTGGAGCCTTGGGCCTAGAGTATAACCCCAGAGTACAGAGTCTGGATCCTTGAGTCTAGAGTATATACCCAGAGTACAGAGTCTGGAGCCTTGGGCTAGAGTATAGACCCCAGAGTACAGAGTCTGGAGCCTTGAGTCTAGAGTATAACCTCAGAGTACAGAGTCTGGAGCCTTGAGTCTAGAGTATAGTACCTCAGAGTACAGAGTCTGGAGCCTTGAGTCTAGAGTATAGACCCCAGAGTACAGAGTCTGGAGCCTTGAGTCTAGAGTATAGACCCCAGAGTACAGAGTCTGGAGCCTTGAGTCTAGAGTATAGACCCCAGAGTACAGAGTCTGGAGCCTTGAGTCTAGAGTATAGACCCCAGAGTACAGAGTCTGGATCCTTGAGTCTAGAGTATAGACCCCAGAGTACAGAGTCTGGAGCCTTGAGTCTAGAGTATAGACCCCAGAGTACAGAGTCTGGAGCCTTGAGTCCTAGAGTATAGACCCAGAGTACAGAGTCTGGAGTCCTTGAGTCTAGAGTATAGACCCAGAGTACAGAGTCTGGAGCCTTGAGTCTAGAGTATAGACCCAGAGTACAGAGTCTGGAGCCTTGAGTCTAGAGTATAGACCTCAGAGTACAGAGTCTGGAGCCTTGAGTCTAGAGTATAGACCTCAGAGTACAGAGTCTGGAGCCTTGAGTCTAGAGTATAGACCTCAGAGTACAGAGTCTGGATCCTTGAGTCTGAGTATAGACCTCAGAGTACAGAGTCTGGAGTCCTCGGAAACTGATAATATTACGATAGACGGGGAAAAAAGTAGGGAGTTAAAGCAAAAATGAGAGAGAGTAGGGAAGGAGGGAAGGAGAGATGGAGGAAAAAAAGGAAAGAAGACAGGGGACAGATAGAAAAAAGGGAAGATATAGACAAAGGGAGATAAGCACTAGGTATAGAGAAACTATGGCAGGGAGGAAGACAGGGAGGGAGGGAGGGAGGGAGGGAGGGAGGGAGGGAGGAAGGGAGAAATGGATAGAGGAAGAGATGCCGATAACAAGGAGAGAAGGACAACAGAACTCATCCACCACACTGAGTAAATACACACAGTGTTAGAGTGTGGTACACTGAGTACATACACAGCATAAGAGTGTGGCACATCTTAGTACAGACAGTGTGGTACATATGAGTACATACAGTGAAAGAGTTTAGTACATCTGAGTACATTTACAGTGTAAGAGTGTAGTACACCTGAGTACATAAACACATTGTAAGAGTGTAGTACATCTGAGTCCATACACAGTGTAAGAGTGTGGTATGTCTGAGTACATACACAGTGTAAGAGTACTATACATCTGAGTACATACACAGTGTAAGTGTTGCACATATGAGTACATATACAGTGTAAGAGTGTGTGCATCTGAGTAATACTCAGTGTAAGAGTGTAGTACATCTGAGCCATAACCAGTGTAAGGAGTGTGGTATGTCTGAGTACATAACAAGTGTAAGAGTACTATACATCTGAGTACATACACAGTGTAAGTGTTGCACATATGAGTACATATACAGTGTAAGAGTGTGGTGCATCTGAGTACATACTCAGTGTAAGAGTGTAGTACATCTGAGTCCATACACAGTGTAAGAGTGTGGTATATCTGAGTACATACACAGTGTAAGAGTACTATACATCTGAGTACATACACAGTGTAAGTGTTGCACATATGAGTACATATACAGTGTAAGAGTGTGGTGCATCTGAGTACATACTCAGTGTAAGAGTGTAGTACATCTGAGTCCATACACAGTGTAAGAGTGTGGTATGTCTGAGTACATACACAGTGTAAGAGTACTATACATCTGAGTACATACACAGTGTAAGTGTTGCACATATGAGTACATATACAGTGTAAGAGTGTGGTGCATCTGAGTACATACTCAGTGTAAGAGCATGGTTCCTCTGAGTACATTCACAGTGTAAGAGTGGTACATCTGAGTACATACACTCAGTGTAAGAACCTGTACCCCAGAGTGCAACATTCCTTGTTCCTTCCTTCACCAGTAACTCTTCCTATTCCTCCATTAACCATTAACCCTCCTGCTCTTCCCTTCACCCATTAACTGTTTCTGTTCCTCCCTTCACCATTAACCATTACTGTTCCTTATAATTAACCAATTGTTCCTTATAATTAACCAATCCTGTAACCTCCTGCTCTTTCCTTAACCATAACCCTCCTGCTCTTCTCTTTACCCATTAACCCTCCTGCTCTTCTCTTTACCCATTAACCCTCCTGCTATTCCTTTCACCCATTAACCTTCCTGCTCTTCCCTACACCCATTAACCCCTCCTGCTCTTCCCCTCACCCATTAACCCTCCAGTTCTTCCCTTCACCCACTAACCCTCCTGCTCTCCCCTTTGCCCTTTAACCCTCCTGCTCTTCCCTTCATCCATTAACCCTCCTGCTCTTCTCTTCACCCATTAACCCTCCTGCTCTTCCCTTCACCCATTAACCCTCCTGCTCTTCCCTTCACCCATTAACCCTCCTGCTCTTCCCTTCACCCATTAACCCTCCTGCTCTACCCTTCACCCATTAACCCCTATCACCAGCCAGTGGGAGGAAATTTACACTCGCAATTTCCTGAGGAATTAGTTGATCAGGAATTCCGTTAATTCTCCCACTGGCTTAATAAAACATCAGAAGACCACAAGCCACTCTCACTGGCTTGTTGTTCCAGCCTTATCTATTAACTTTTTTATATATTTTTTAAGCTAAGAGCTGCTTTTCTATATGCTAAGAAGTGATTATCTACAAGCTAAGAGTTTTTCAACAAGCTAAGAGCTGTTTACCACAATATAAGAGTTGTTTTTAACAAGAGATGATATTCCACAAACTAAGAGCTGATCTTTTACAGGATAAGACTTGATATTCTACAAGTTAAGAGCTATTTTTCTGCAAGTATATGAGCTCTTTTTTCTCAAGCTAAGAGCTGCTTCTCTACGAGACACGATGCATTATTCTCGACATTAAGAGACGATAGTCTGCAAGCTTTACGAAGGCACATGCAGATATATGGTGCGTGGGAAACCTGACCGTAAGGCAGATTACTACAAGCGAGGGCAAACACTAAGCGAAGGCAAACAACAAGCAAAGGCAAACAAGCAAAGGCAAACAACAAGAGCAGGCAAACACCAAAGTAAAGACAAAAAAAAAGTCAAATACCAAGCAAAGGCATCGGATATTTGTAATCAGCCATAGGTAGTGAGAGACCGTCCTCTTGACCAGAGTGTAGATATAAAGTCAGGTGACCTGGAGGTCAGTCTCTCTCATCCTGATTCCTTGTAGCTTATAACCAGCAGCTACACACAGTACAGTTGTAATGCCCCGACAACTGCACAGCCATAACTAACCAATTACTGAGGATAACTGGATGATTATAAAGGATAGCTGGATCATTATAGAGAATAACTGCATTATTATAAAGGATAAATGCATCAGTATAGAGGACATACAAGAGGTGGTTGTGTCATTCACAATGAGTCCGATATAACGTAGTCGGTGCCCATCACAATCAAAGGATTAATATTTTCAAGTAAAGAGCAGATATTTTACCTGCTAAGAGCTGGTAGGTTGTAACTAATACTGGATGTTATGAAGGTTAATAGCTGTTATTCTACAAGCTAATAGCTGTTATTCTTAAAGCTAATAGCTGTTATTCTTCAAGCTAATAATTGATATTCTACAAGCTAATGGCTGATATTCTACAAGCTAATGGCTGATATTCTCCAAGCTGATGTTCAATAGACTAATAGCTGTTATTCTGCAAGCTAATAGCTGTAATTGTTCAAGTTAAGAAGTCATATTCTACAAATTAAGATCTGATTGATACTCCACAAGCTAAGAGCTGATATTTTACAAGCTAACAATATCGTCTGTGTGTGTGTATATATATATATATATATATATATATATATATATATATATATATATATATATCCTAGGTAGTAGGTTGGTAGACAGCAACCGCCCAGGGAGGTACTACCGTCCTGCCAAGTGAGTGTAAAACGAAAGCCTGTAATTGTTTTACATGATGGTAGGATTGCTAGTGTCCATTTTTGTCTCATAAACATGCAAGGTTTCAGGTACGTCTTGCTACTTCTACTTACACTTAGGTCACACTACACTTACATGTACAAGCATATATATACACACCCCTCTGGGTTTTCTTCTATTTTCTTTCTAGTTCTTGTTCTTGTTTATTTCCTCTTATCTCCATGGGGAAGTGGAGCAGAATTCTTCCTCCGTAATCCAGGCGTGTTGTAAGAGGCGACTAAAATGCCGGGAGCAAGGGGCTGGTAGCCCCTTCTCCCGTATAAATTACTAAATTTAAAAGAAAAACTTTTGTTTTTCTTTTTGGGCCACCCTGCCTCGGTGGGATACTGCCGGTTCGTTGAAAGAAAATTATATATATTATATAATATATATATATATATATATATATATATATATATATATATATATATATAATATCAGTAAAATCCACAGTGTAAGGATACTGTGATTTTCATTTTATTGATGTAGGTACAAGCTGATCTTTGTCTGTCGTTGTTATTAATAAATTGCTGATTTTATTGTTCTGAGTATTTGATTTGATTTAATAAGTACTTGCTTTGCTTTACAGGAGGAAGAACCATGGATGGAGTACAAGCGGTCCACTTAGGCCACATTGATGGTAAGTTGCGATCCAGCGGGGAAATACTTGCAGCATTCTGGGCACGCGGCCCACAGCCGGGGAGCTGGACGAAGTATTTGAGATGTAGCTCTGAGTTGTCATCTATGTTGTTTTACTCTTATTGTATTTTTGTCAATGCATTTTGGCAATGTATTTTCTCTTTAAATAAAATTTATATTAAATAGAGGAAGTGGTAGGAGAAAATTTTCAAACAGCTTCAGAGTTTTCCCTGAAGCAAATTTATTCTTTTCTCTGAGGATGAGGGTTCCCAGGACAGTTCTAGAGGTGGTACCTCCTTATATATATATATATATATATATATATATATATATATATATATATATATATATATATATATATATATATATGTTTGTATGTGTGTATGTGTGTGTGTGTGTGTGACATAGTGGGAACGACAGTTAGTTGGGTTTTCCTGTACTATATCATCACACAGGATGAGGTTACACTGTCATATTCCATCATACAGGATGATGTTACACTGTCATGTTCCATTACACAGGATGGTGTTTCCCTTGTCATATTCCATCACACGATGGATTTCCCCTCTCATGTGCCATCACACACAGTGGGTTTCCCTGTCATATTCTCTTCTCACGGAATGTTTCTCGTACATCAACTGCTGGAATTCTGTATGTCAGTGTGAGCTGGAAGACTTCAGTACCGGTTATCAGGCTGGGAAGTGGATTCTGGGTGCTGACTGTAGACAGAAACGCGGGTAGTTGATGAATCAGATGCTACGTCAGTGCCTAAGTGTACAGAGTGAGAAAAAAAAGAGTATGGACAGTGAATGAATATGATGTGCAGTGACTGAAAGTGACCAAATTGTTGCTGTTTTAAGTTACTTATGCGTAGTATTTTTGGCTTGGTCAGCGTGGGCGTGGATGCTGACCGTGGGCGTTGGCGTGATGGTAAGCATGAAGGCGGTGCCCACACAGGGCCAAGTTACAGGGTACCGTAAAAAATGGTGTCACTGTGACCTCGACCCTTGCCTGCAGAGTGTCCTTGCTGCCCTGCTGGCCAACAAGACCATCCCTAATTGCTCTCCAGGTGAGTCTCAAGACCACATTTTTCTCAGATGAATTCCAGGACCTGTCCCAAACATTACATAATTTGCTCCCCCAAGAAAGTCCCAAGATCTTTATCTTCTTAGTCTGCCTCTCAGGTCAGTCACAAGACCTCTTTCATTTTTAGACCGATCCCAGATAGAATGTTGTCGATAGTGAGGGGGGTTCTGCTTTGACACTAATCACACATCCAACTCACTTAGATTCCAATTCGGATCTAAATTACGTGAACTCTTCCCTTTGACAGGGCTGCATACTACTTAGCATACTGGTTACTTACCAATCTGATGTCTCTGATGACACCTGGCACCTGGTCTAATCCAGGCCGTAACTGTCCAATACGTTCTGATAGAGTGAAACGCAAGCCTTGTGCCTGTCTCACGTGACTGACACCATGACTGACTCTAATGACTCCCGGTAATCTGAACCTTCTCCCATCTACCTTGAATGAGATTATGGACTGCAGTCTAAACCGGACAAAGTTGTCAGCTGTACCGCTAGTGGCGGCTCTTAGGGAGGTCAGGCATGGCCACACACAGGTAAGGTCCCCACGACTAGTTCACTAAACTTGACTGTGAATCCGGTGCAACTCCAAAGATCTACAAATCACTTGATTGAGCCTTAAATTCTATAATACTGCCAACTTTAATTAGGTGATGCACGTAGTGCTACGAGATACCCCTCGCTGGGCGATTTGGACACAGCCTACATTGTGCCTAGTTGGACTCAGACTGTTGCTCCCTGGCTATCAAACGTATACTTGGGCCAGAGAGGCATAGTTGCCAGAGACGGGAAAAATTAACACTTACAAAGTTTTGTAGACATGAGAGAATGTCTGTATGGCATTCATAAATTGGAGATCCTAGCCTAATGGGTACGGGTCTCGTAATTATATCAAGTCACTGACGGCTTCTCAAGAGAGGGGAAAATCTGTTAGGCAACCCCTCCCCCCTTTTCCCCGTAGTGGGGGTTTCTAACAGTCACTATGACACAGGGTTCATTCACCCGCGTAATGGAATGGTGGAGGACTCTGTGGAATAAAATTCGAGTCACACACACACAGAATGGGTACTGTTACCTCGCTGTGACAGGTGAGTAAAGACGCCAGCTCCAAAGGATGAGTCTGGAAGTGATGGCACTCCAGTCACACAGAAAGCAAGTAGTGGCACTTTGCAGTGGCTGATGATTGATGTCGCCATCACATAGAGTAAACGAGTCTAGCTGGTGTGATGACCCTTCATTTACATATAACAGCAGGTGATTGTAACTTATAGAATCAGTCCATATGACTGTGTCGTTAACAATTCCACCAAGAAATCTAGCTAGTGGCACGACCCTCCAGTCACATACAGACCGAGTATAGACCGATCAGTGTATACGACTGGAAGGTAAACAATGGGTTATTAAATGTTTCCACTTGAAAGCTTGATTGATCAACCTAGTGATACTGATCACTTGCGAGTTGATATTAGATGAGGCTTGAGTACCATCGCGAATGAGTTGTTAGTCACACCAAGAACCTAATCACCTTTGTTGTGCATCGGGTAAATCACTTTCTTGGGACAGTGACGTATGCTGGGAGCTGTTAATGACAATTGTTGTAGTTAGCATCGTGTCCACAATAATGCTGCCCTGGGCGAACTAATTACCCAATGGGAGATTGTGAGACCAGAAGTGTGGTGGAGTTATGATCGGATTCTCCGATCATATAGCAGCCATCAGAGCCGGCACAGCCTCGCAGAAAGAAAAATAATGAGATTTCTCATTGAGACTGCTTATCTACTGATATTCTCCTATCATCCCACCATTTATACACACAAACAAATATGCTTTACTAAGTACAGTAATATTTTCATTTGACCATGAAACTATATTTTCCATAATTGGAGTGTGTTTAGTTTTGAGTCTTTGATGATATTATTTTTATTGTACGACTTGTGGGTTCCAAGGCTTCAAAATGCCACAATTCCTCTCTTCCCTCAGGTCGAAAAGAATATTTTGTTTTATTTTAAACTTTTGTAATTTTTGCTATTTAGAATAGTATATACATAATATATTCATTGGTATGCTAATATCATGAGAAAATGTTCGAGAATTTTTATTCTAAAAGACAGACGAGATAATTAAAAATCTGTGATCTGCTTACGTGATTTTTTTTTCTTTTTTTTTTTTTGCTTTATTTTTCTCAAGCTGGGTAAAACATGTTTATGTTTTGGGGATCATTGTTTTTCAACAGCGTGTTCATTATAGTTTACACATGTTTATTTTAGGTAACATCCAAACTATCTTCTAAGGTGGGTGTTTTGACTTGTTGAATGTGTCTATTCCTAAGAGGTTCATCATTGCTCCTTCTCACTACCACTGATCTATGTCCATGTTCTTCAAAATGCGCCTCATCTGACTAATCTCCATCCCGTTTATTATAGTTAACACGTGTTTAAATTTTATAGGTAGTTTATCTCTTGCCTCACTCATTGCCAAAATAATGAAAAATATTTAAATTAAATATAACTATAATCATATTATATTCTGCCGTTCCGTTTTTTATTCTCTGTCGTTTTTCTCAAATTTCCGTCGAGTCTTTCAACTTTTTAATCGCCTTCCTTGTCTTCCACCACGTCTTCCTTCTTTTCCTCTCCCTCATCATTATTTTGACTCTATTTCTTCTTCTCTTCCTGGAAACAGAAAATCCATTTGTAGATGCAGGGCCACCGCCGAGCAACAATACTTCAGGCAACACCACCGCAGGCGCTGCTGGTGCCTCGACCAATTCTTCAGGCAACGCCACCGCAAATACCTCAGGAACATCGAACGGTACCGCATCCAACTCTACCACTGGTGCTGGATCGGCATCAAACACCACTTCGTCCAACTCTACCACTGGATCAACATCAAACACCACTTCGTCCAACTCTACCACTGGATCAACATCAAACACTACTTCGTCCAACTCTACCACTGGATCAACATCAAACACTACTTCGTCCAACTCTACCACTGGATCAACATCAAACACCACTTCATCCAACTCTACCACTGGATCAACATCAAACACCACTTCGTCCAACTCTACCACTGGATCAACATCAAACACTACTTCGTCCAACTCTACCGCTGGATCAACATCAAACACCACTTCATCCAACTCTACCACTGGATCAACATCAAACACTACTTCGTCCAACTCTACCACTGGATCATCATCAAACACCACTTCATCCAACTCTACCACTGGATCAACATCAAACACCACTTCGTCCAACTCTACCACTGGATCATCATCAAACACCACTTCATCCAACTCTACCACTGGATCAACATCAAACACCACTTCATCCAACTCTACCACTGGATCAACATCAAACACCACTTCATCCAACTCTACCACTGGATCAACATCAAACACCACATCGTCCAACACCACAACTACAGGAAGGTGAGAGATAGAGGGGTAAAGAAATCAGAGGGTCAGAGAAAGTACGTGGGAATGCAGAGAAAAGGCAGACAGTCTAACTACTTTCTATTCTGTATGGATTGCTGAGATGGAAACTGATTTCTACTGGTAGTACTACTAACAGTAGCACCTAACTGGGTAATTAATTCTTCACTGATCAGGCAGTCTCTGCTCGATAAAGCACCAACATGGTATCGATTTGAATTAGGCATTTGCAGCCTATGCTTATGCTCATTTTATTCTATAAAATGTACACCGAAACTGGACAGCATATTTGTTATAAAGTTTGGGGATCCTTGAGGGTAAAACACAGTTCTAGGGATAAACTCAAAATTATTTAAATTATAAGTGGTCAGTACCGTTATTAATGACCTTAGATTTGATCTTCCAGGAAGGTCAATTAAACTGCCCTTTATAAAAATAAACATGCATTATACCAAATAGTATACATAACACCAACCCGTCATCAACACACATCACAAAAACAGTAAATAATACACTCGTAAACTTTTACTAGTTGATTAAAGTTAGGCCGTAAGAAAATTAACATGATCAGTGACTCGAGTGGACTGGCGTACTCCCAACCTGCTGGTAAACACGCTATTATTACTGTACTTCTTGTTATTCTTATTCTGTGCATCAAACAACAATGCCAGGCACCTTCCAGGGCCCACATGAGCACAAAAGCACCAAACACAACCTATGGCCTGAGCATAACCACAAAATACACAAAGTCACTTACCTGCCACTTCAACACCATGTCCCTCGACGCTTCACTCTGTGATGCCATGACGTCATGAGACACGAAAACCGTCCACAAAACGCCGACATGATTTCTGAAATTATGGAGCACTTCTGTTTACACTATTAATACCTTATTTTATGACATATTCTATCACAATCAGGCAGTAGCCTGCACAACACCCCTGCCATCAAACCAACGGTCTCACCCAACTAGCTGTGTACAATCGGATGCAGCTAGTCAAAAGAAAAAAAAGGACAGAAACGAAAATAAACATCAAAGACAAAAAAAAAAAAGTGCATCAGTACAGGCAGTAATCCTTACCTTAATTGCCTTGGTACACTCTTTTTATATAGACAGCGAACCAAAACCCAACTGGATAAACCCAACACAACAACTATCACCACAATATGAGCTCTGCTAATACACAGACTTGTGAAACTTGTTTAATATAAAAGTGAACAAATTTTATGCCCACAGTCATGACTTATAGCCATATCCTCACAGAAACCATAAATTACGAAAATGCACCATCACAGCACATTGCTGGCCAAGCACCTGCCTTGATACATTTTACCTATACAGTATACAACTTGATACACTACTGAATGGGTTTCCTCTGTACAGCATATTTGCACATAACCAAATAAGAGTAACTTGGTTACATCAGTACAAAATAGGTCAGAAATTGAAAAACTCTTTGTCTTAATAAGCATTACTGTCAAGTACCACAAATTCCTGCTTACAATAGATACAAAGTTTCAAAAAAATCTGGCACGAAACATAAGTGACTTTTCACAGTAATAGCATAAATATTTGACAAGTCCACATATTAGTTACTACACAGAAAGGGATATCACATTATCAACCTGTGCCCATATCAATCTTTAGTAAGCAAAACTGACTGCGCAAAACACGCCTCTGAGAAAAATGGTAGGAGAGCACAGGATGGAAAAGTATAAGACCCCAAAAAACCTGGGTGGATAGCCGTAAAAAAATTTTATTGGTGGGATTGTGGCCATAAAGAAAACACTGGAATCATCACTGATGCCTCTCAGAAGGTTAGCTTCGGAGGCCTTCACGTGCACTGTCATTCCTAAGAAACCTGGAGCCACTCACACTGGTGACCCATGATCACTATTCATGATTCAAAATAATGGTGAGGCATCAGTACCCCGTAAACTGAAACCCTTTTGGTCCGACAGTTCATAGGACACTAACATTACACACGTAGGTGAGGCATACCAGCCAGCACCTAAAAATAAATTTAACATATCTTACCTAGGCATGTAAAACAGATGTGACTACCACTAAAAATAACACACACTCTAGGGAAATCTGATACTCCCACCACCAATTCAACTCGCATGTCTCCTTTAGGTGTTGCGAGATATCATCTACTCGCCCACTGCAAAACACTGTTCAATAAAAGCAGATTAGTGATCTATACGCCACATTATGTACATTTTTTACACATGAGATAATGCATCAGCAACCACATTCTTTGTTCCCTGTGCATAATGAATCACCAAATACAGAGATTGTAGGTACTGAGCCCACCTAGTGAGTCTTTGGTTGATGTTTCTCATTAGGTGAAGGAAACATAAAGATCTGTAGTTAGCATACACAGTGACAGTATGAGATCTTAATAATATAAAAAGCTGCTATATACACAACACCAGTTAAAATTTTCTTTCCCGTGATCAAGTTTTCTTGATATTATACTCAGAGAAATAACTTATAGTAAGAATTCTGCGACTTTTCTCAACAATACAGAAAACATCAATACACCAGGTTATGTCAACAATGTTTGTACATTTCCGGAAAATCTTGAATTTTCATATCCCACACAATCTCAAGTACAGAAAGAGACCAACTGGCATTACAAACAGGAAGATGTCACTGGTACACAGTGTCATGGGAATTTAGATAACCTTTCCACATATCTAGTTTACAGACATATTTAGCTCCCCTAACTGTATCATACGAACTGAAGATGCAGGAGGCTGCATCAGTGACATCATCCACACTAGGAAAATGAAAACAATTAACCTTTGTTAATAAATTTACCTTGAGTTAGTCAGTGCACATTCTTGTGGTGTAATCTGGTTTGGAACTATTAAGCAGGGTGATGCCCACTGACTCGCTAGGTACTATTAAATTATTGTCATGTAGGAATTTCACCTCCTTCACCATATTCGCCTTTCTTTGTAGGTTCTTTCTATAAGGGGCCTGCCGAATTGACTTATCCTTCCCTAGATTAAATATTTCTATCATTTTCCTATTCCTTGTTCAGAAGCAAATTGAACTCTCTTTTTCTTCAGCCCTAAGGATTGCTGACTCCTTTTCTTCCCAGAGCTTCGTACATTCCATCCTTCTCAGGTCTTTTTCCTCCTGAATTAGGGTTAATTTCAACCTTAAAATCTCAGCTTTATTAGTTCCCTTATTAGCAGTGATGTGTGAACCAGGGAAATTTTCGCCAAGGTCACTGCCACCAACATAATCTGTACTGGTTCCAGACATTTTTGTATATATTAGAAAATTGTAGGTAAAAGACGCACGCCTACTTATTATTACAGCAGAAACCTAATAATGCAAAATAATAAACCATTAAATAGCAAATCACAAAATTTTAAAGACACAGCTTACCATCTTCCCTCAAAAATGTTACACAAAATGTTATATATTCATACAGAATTACTATCAAGAAAACACTTCCTAAAACTCACCAGATTTACAAAAATAAAATTAATCAGGAAAATATATTTTCTGGTTATACCTGATAAAAGGTAAATTATTATTTTCTGTAAATATGTTATGATACCTCCTAGGTATAAACTTGGTTTAGAAAGAGTCTCGAGCAAACAATGGGATATAACAAAAAAGGCACAATACCGTGACTGGAACAATACACAAATAACACGCACATAGAAGAGACGAGTTTACGACGACGTTTCGGTCCGATTTGGACCATTTACAAAGTCACACTAATGAAAAGGAAAGAAGAAAGGGTATAAATAGTCAGGAGGTGGAGGTAGAGGGAAGTAGTAGTGGGGAAGGTAGTAAGAAGGAGGAGAGGCCAGTCAGATATTAAGAAAGTGGAACACTGCAAGGGAGCTAGGTGCCCACAAGGGAGCTAGGTGCCCACAAGGGAGCTAGGTGCCCACAAGGGAGCTAGGTGCCCACAAGGGAGCTAGGTGCCCACAAGGGAGCTAGGTGCCCACAAGGGAGCTAGGTGCCCACAGAGGGTAACAGCAAGAACGCAGAGGGGGGGGGGTGGAAATATACCTAAATAAAGAAGGAACATATACACAGGGCAGAAAAAAGACAATCCAAAGGAGAAAGAGGAAAGAGGAAAGGGAAAGAGGAAGAAGAAAAGGAGGAATCAGGTTAAGTCACCGGTGTTCTGAAGTTTGGAGCATTTTACAATGTAGTGGGAGAGGAAGGCATCTACAGAGACGAAGCCAGGACTAAGATCCATACAAGGAAAGTTGTGCATTAGGGAGGATTCAACCAGACGGCGACTGTTAAAGTTGGAAGTAGGGAAGACAGTTTTAGCAGAAGACCAGTCAATAGGATGACTGTGATCTCTGACGTGACAGAAAAGAGCATTGTTAGTGTCGGCAAGCCTAACACTACTTTTGGGCTGGCTAGGTCTGTCAAAAAGGGATCGACCAGTTTCTCCAAAGTATTGAAGAGGACAGGAGGAGCAAGAAATAGAGTAGATACCAGGCATCTGTAGAGGGAGGAGATTAGTGCGAAGAGTGTTAGTCTGTCGGAAAGTAAGTTTGATGTCCAAGGAACGGAGGGCTGTATAGCCCTTGTGGCTTAGCGCTTCTTTTTGATTATAATAATAATAAGGAACGGAGAGAGTTGTTGACATTAGAAAGGCCGGAAATGTAGGGAAGGCAGAGGACAGAAGAGTTCCCAGGAGTAGAGAGTTTGGGAGAGAAGAAATTACGTTGAGCACGTGAGAGGGCAGAGTCTGTGAAATGGGAAGGGAAGCCAAGACGGGAAAACGAATTATGAAGAGTGGAAATTTCTGATTGAGGGAACTGAGGATCACAAATGCGGAGAGCACGAAGAAAGAGGGATATAAGAACACTTTTCTTGACAGAGGAAGCATGATAAGAAAAGTAGTGAATGTACATGCCACTGTGCATAGGTTTGCGGTAAACGGAAAAGGCAAAACCTGTATCTGAGCGGTGGACATTAACATCAAGGAAAGGAAGCAAGGAATTAGATTCCCATTCAGCCTTAAACTTAATGAAAGGGGCAAAATTATTAAGAGCATCAAGAAATGGTTGGAAAAGACTAGAGTCATGAGGCCACAGAGCAAAGATGTCATCTACATAGCGAAGCCAAAGAGGAGAGTTTGAGGTAATCAATCCCTTGAGGTGTTCAATCCATTAATCTTGTAGAAAGTACAGTATATGGCGGAGAAGTGGCTTACATACTGTAGTCAGGTGAGTCGAAGCAGGAGAAAGCGGAATCACAGTGGAACCATCCACTAGTCTAAGTAGGTCAAAGGTTGGACAAGGTTGTATCAAGATCCCATGATGTTGCAGTGTCTGACGAATGTGATAAATGGTTTTCAAAACAGACAAGTTGAAGATTGAGACACCTGATGAAGCCAATGTGTGGCGAAACGTTTCCTCAATAGAGATTCCCATATGTTTCACAAGTGTCTCAATCTTCAACTTGTGGGTTTTCAAAACTATTTATCACATGTGTCAGACACTGCAACATCATGGGATCTTGATACAAGGAATTCTTCAACACTTGTGTCTCTTTGTTGCTGTGTTTCATCTCTGAAGCATTCTGTCCCGGTTCACCTTGTCAATTCCTCTCAGTATTTTATGTCGTTATTATGTCCCCCCCCCCCACATTCTTCCTGTCCTCTAGTGTCATCAGGTTGAGTTCCCTTAACCTGTCTTCGTGGGACATACCCCTTAGCTCTGGGACTAGTCTTTTTTTTTTGTTTGTTTGTTTTTTTGTTTTGCATATTTTCCACTTTCTCTAATTTCTTCACGTATTTGACTAGGTGTGGGCTCCATACTGGTGCTGCATACTCTATTATGGACCTGACGTAAACAGTATAAAGTGTCGTGAATGACTCCTCACTTACATGTCGAAACGCTATTCTTAGGTTTGCCAGGCACCCAAATGCTGCAGCAATTATTTGGTTGATGTGCGCCTCAAGAGATGCATTTGGTATTACACTCACCACAAGATTCTTTTTCTGAGTCGAATTTGCAGTCTTTGACCCCCGAGCCTGTATTCCGTCTGTCATCTTTGTACTTCCCCAAGCTTTATAACCTTGCACTTGATGTGGTTAAACTCTATGAGGCAGTTGTTGGACCAGGTTTGCAGACTGTCCAGATTCCTTTGTAGTTTTACCTGATCCTCGTCCACTTGTATTCTCATTAGTTTTACGTCCTCAGGAACAGCTCTGAATCTATACTTTGTGTCATGTCATTCACATACACAAGAAACAGCATCGGCCCTAGGAATGACCCTTGTGGAACATCACTCGACACACGCGCCCCTTCCGACACCTAGTCGCATACCATCACTCGTTGTTTCCTTCCCGTCGGCTATTCCAAGATCCATTACATTGCTTTTCTTATTGTTCCTGCCTGCTCCTCTAACTTTTGAACGAATCTCTTGAGCGGTACTGTGTCAAAAGCCTTCTTACAGTCCATGAAATTGTAATACACCCATCCCTCTCTCCCTCTCTCTCCTGTTTTATTTCTGTTACCTTGTCGTAGAACTCCAGTTGGTTTGTGACACAGGATTTTCCATCCCTGAAGCCCTGCTGGTTGTCATGTAAGAGCCCGTCCCTTTCTAGATGCTCCACTACTCTTCTGATAATCTCCATATTTTCATACTATACATGTCAGTGACACTGGTACGTAGTTTAATTCTACCTGTGTTATATTGTGTTATTGAAAACCAGGTCTGTGTTATACTGCGTTCTTGAAGTCCAAGTTTGTGCTAAATTGTGTTCTTGAACTCCAGGTCTGTGTTATGTTTTAGAGATGTATCTTTTCTCCTCCTCTGATGTTATTATTGTATAGAAAGAAAAAACAACGTCACAGTTTTAGATTAAACTTGCTCGCTCAACTTCATTTTAAGGAGAAAACTGAGCAAAATCTTTTTAGTAGGAAATGAAAAAACCTTGACGTTCCATGTCTTGATAACTTGTCAACTAACATAAGGGCGAGGGGACACTGATAGGCTTGGTCTGGGACCAGGCAACTGGGGCGTTGACCCTCGATAACATCCTTCAGGCATGTCTATTCTATTCTGCTTCACCTTATTTTCAACAGAAAGAAGCGCTCTGCTGGTGACGCTACTGAAGGAATCACCAGATACGCTAACCAGGTGACCGAGGTCGTCGATAAAGTGGTCAACAAGGCTGAGAAAGTGGCTCAAGTGGTCCAGCAAATGACTCAAGTGGTCGCTTGGGCAGGCCAAGTGTCTGGAGATGCCACGGTAGATGTTGGCACGGACGGTGCCAAGACAGTAGCTAACGAGGGTGTCAGAGCAGAGCCTCAGGGAGAGGGAGAAGCTGCATCACACACCGTCTTTATCTCACAACGCAGGTAAGACAACCTCCGACACTCCTCTGTTTCACCTGAGTCGCATCAGAGACATGTGTCTACACTTTAATCCCCATCGTAGACATATTTTCCGGAAGCGGTTATAAATGAGGAAGTTCAATAACAGAAGTGAGGATATATAAGTTCAGTGAGAGAAGCGAGGATCAGTAAGTTCAATGACAGTGAGGATCAACGAGTAAGTTCAGTGACAGTGAGGATCAATGAGTAAGTTCAATGACAGTGAGGATCAATGAGTAAGTTCAGTGACAGTGAGGATCAATAAGTTCAATGACATTGAGAATCAATGAGTAAGTTCAATGAAAGTGAGGATCAATGAGTAAGTTCATTGTCAGTGAGGATCAATGAGTAAGTTCAATGACAGTGAGGATCAATGAGTAAGTTCAGTGACAGTGAGGATCAACGAGTAAGTTCAGTGACAGTGAGGATCAATGAGTAAGTTCAGTGACAGTGAGGATCAATGAGTAAGTTCAATGACAGTGAGGATCAATGAGTAAGTTCAGTGACAGTGAGGATCAACGAGTAAGTTCAGTGACAGTGAGGATCAATGAGTAAGTTCAGTGACAGTGAGGATCAATGAGTAAGCTCAATGACAGGATCAATGAGCAAATTCAATGTCAAAAGTGAAGACTAGTTAGTAAGTTCAATGCCAGAAGTGAGGATCATTGAGTAACTTCAATGACAGAGGTGAGGATCAATGAGTAAGTTCAATGACAGAGGTGAGGATTAATGAGTAAGTTCAATGACAGAGGTGAGGATCAATGAGTAAGTTCAATGACAGAGGTGAGGATCAATGAGTAAGTTCAATGACAGAGGTGAGGATCAATGAGTAAGTTCAGTGACAGAGGTGAGGACTAATGAGTAAGTTCAGTGACAGAGGTGAGGATCAATGAGTAGGTTCAGTGACAGAGGTGAGGACTAATGAGTAAGTTCAGTGACAGAGGTGAGGACTAATGAGTAAGTTCAGTGACAGAGGTGAGGACTAATGAGTAAGTTCAGTGACAGAGGTGAGGACTAATGAGTAAGTTCAGTGACAGAGGTGAGGACTAATGAGTAAGTTCATTGACAGAGGTGAGGATCATTGAGTAAGTTCAATGACAGAGGTGAGGATCAATGAGCAAGTTCAATGACAGAGGTGAGGATCAATGAGTAAGTTCAATGACAGAGGTGAGGATCAATGAGTAAGTTCAATGACAGAGGGTCAGGATCAATGAGTAAGTTCAGTGACAGAGGTGAGGATTCATGAGTAAGTTCAGTGACAGAGGTGAGGACTAATGAGTAAGTTCAGTGACAGAGGTGAGGATCATTGAGTAAGTTCAATGACAGAAGTGAGGATCATTTAGTATTATTCTTTTGACAAAAATAAACTTACATAGTGGTCTTACAGCACCTGAAAAAGGGAGTTAGTCAGACTTGATCCGAGGAATGGAGGGTTAACTGCACTTCTTTAGAGCAAGTGTCCTTCATTAAGGCGTCTCCATTGATGGTAGGTCCCGCTTTACAGTGATTTGCTCTATAGTGTTTCGCTAATACAGCGGCTGTCAATTATACCCATACTTCATGTATTCAGACTTCCTACAATAAATATATTCACAACTCACTATAAGTTTAAGACGAAAATATATTAAGGTAAGTAATGTGTGTTGTGTATATATTTTAGGCCTAGCTATATTTCACACTTAATATATGACAGTGTAAATATGTTGTAAGGTATGCATTTGAAAGTTAAAAAAACAACTGTGATTCACTTTAGAGCGATTTTAGCTTCACAACTGTAGCCCGGAACCTGACCTGCTGCCTCACAGAAGTCTCCCTCCTTCTCTGAGGTACTCCACAAACACTACCTTCCTCACAGAAGACTCCCTCCATCTCTGAGGTACTCCACAAACACTAGCTTCCTCACAGAAGACTCCCTCCATCTCTGAGGTACTCCACAAACACTAGCTTCCTCACAGAAGACTCCCTCCTTCTCTGAGGTACTCCACAAACACTAGCTTCCTCACAGAAGACTCCCTCCATCTCTGAGATACTCCACAAACACTAGCTTCCTCACAGAAGACTCCCTCCATCTCTGAGATACTCCACAAACACTAGCTTCCTCACAGAAGACTTCCCTCCTTCTCTGAGGTACTCCACAAACACTAGCTTCCTCACAGAAGACTCCCTCCATCTCTGAGATACTCCACAAACACTAGCTTCCTCACAGAAGACTCCCTCCATCTCTGAGGTACTCCACAAACACTAGCTTCCTCACAGAAGACTCCCTCCATCTCTGAGGTACTCCACAAACACCTAGCTTCCTCACAGAAGACCCTCCTTCTCTGAGGTACTCCACAAACACTAGCTTCCTCACAGAAGACTCTCTCCTTCTCTGAGGTACTCCACAAACACTAGCTTCCTCACAGAAGACTCCCTCCATCTCTGAGGTACTCCAAAAACCCACTAGCTTCCTCACAGAAGACTCCCTCCTTCTCTGAGGTACTCCACAAACACTAGCTTCCTCACAGAAGACTCCCTCCATCTCTGAGATACTCCACAAACACTAGCTTCCTCACAGAAGACTCCCTCCATCTCTGAGATACTCCACAAACACTAGCTTCCTCACAGAAGACTCCCTCCTTCTCTGAGGTACTCCACAAACACTAGCTTCCTCACAGAAGACTCCCTCCATCTCTAAGATACTCCACAAACACTAGCTTCCTCACAGAAGACTCCCTCCATCTCTGAGGTACTCCACAAACACTAGCTTCCTCACAGAAGACTCCCTCCATCTCTGAGGTACTCCACAAACATTAGCTTCCTCACAGAAGACTCCCTCCATCTCTGAGGTACTCCACAAACAATAGCTTCCTCACAGAAGACTCCCTCCATCTCTGAGGTACTCCACAAACAATAGCTTCCTCACAGAAGACTCCCTCCATCTCTGAGGCACTCCACAAACACTAGCTTCCTCACAGAAGACTCCCTCCATCTCTGAGGTACTCCACAAACACTAGCTTCCTTTCAGAAGACTCCCTCCATCTCTGAGGTACTCCACAAACATTAGCTTCCTCACAGAAGACTCCCTCCATCTCTGAGGCACTCCACAAACATTAGCTTCCTCACAGAAGACTCCCTCCATCTCTGAGGCACTCACAAACATTAGCTTCCTCACAAAAGACTCCCTCCATCTCTGAGGCACCCACAAACATTAGCTTCCTCACAGAAGACTCCCTCCATCTCTGAGGCACTCCACAAACATTAGCTTCCTCACAGAAGACTCCCTCCATCTCTGAGGCACTCCACAAACACTAGCTTCCTCACAGAAGACTCCCTTCATCTCTGAGATACTCCACAAACACTAGCTTCCTCACAGAAGACTCCCTCCATCTCTGAGGCACTCCACAAATACTAGTTTCGTCAAAGAAGACTCCTTCCATCTCTGAGGTACTCCACAAACACTAGCTTCCTCACAGAAGACTCCCTCCATCTCTGAGGTACTCCAAAAACACTAGCTTCCTCACAGAAGACTCCCTCCATCTCTGAGGCACTCCACAAACACTAGCTTCCTCACAGAAGACTCCCTCCATCTCTGAGGTACTCCACAAACACTAGCTTCCTCACAGAAGACTCCCTCCATCTCTGAGGTACTCCACAAACATTAGCTTCCTCACAGAAGACTCCCTCCATCTCTGAGATACTCCACAAACACTAGCTTCCTCACAGAAGACTCCCTCCATCTCTGAGGTACTCCACAAACATTAGCTTCCTCACAGAAGACTCCCTCCATCTCTGAGATACTCCACAAACACTAGCTTCCTCACAGAAGACTCCCTCCATCTCTGAGGTACTCCACAAACACTAGCTTCCTCACAGAAGACTCCCTCCATCTCTGAGGTACTCCACAAACACTAGCTTCCTCACAGAAGACTCCCTCCATCTCTGAGGTATTTCCAAAAACACTAGCTTCCTCACAGAAGACTCCCTCCATCTCTGAGGCACTCCACAAACACTAGCTTCCTCACAGAAGACTCCCTCCATCTCTGAGATACTCCCCCAAACACTAGCTTCCTCACAGAAGACTCCCTCCATCTCTGAGGTACTCCACAAACATTAGCTTCCTCACAGAAGACTCCCTCCATCTCTGAGATACTCCACAAACACTAGCTTCCTCACAGAAGACTCCCTCCATCTCTGAGGTACTCCACAAACATTAGCTTCCTCACAGAAGACTCCCTCCATCTCTGAGATACTCCACAAACACTAGCTTCCTCACAGAAGACTCCCTCCATCTCTGAGGTACTCCACAAACACAAGCTTCCTCACAGAAGACTCCTCCCATCTCTGAGGTACTTCCACAAACACTAGCTTCCTCACAGAAGACTCCCTCCATCTCTGAGGTACTCCACAAACACTAGCTTCTTCACAGAAGACTCTCCCTCCATCTCTGAGGTACTCCACAAACACTAGCTTCCTCACAGAAGACCCCCCTCCATCTCTGAGTACTCCACAAACACTAGCTTCCTCACAGAAGACTCCTTCCATCTCTGAGGTCCCTCCACAAACACTAGCTTCCTCACAGAAGACTCCCTCCATCTCTGAGGCACTCCCAAAACACTAGCTTCCTCACAGAAGACTCCCTCCATCTCTGAGGCACTCCACAAAACCCCTAGCTTCCTCACAGAAGACTCCTTCCATCTCTGAGGTACTCCACAAAACACTAGCTTCCTCACAGAAGACTCCCTCCATCTCTGAGGTACTCCACAAACACTAGCTTCCTCACAGAAGACTCCCTCCATCTCTGAGGTACTCCACAAACACTAGCTTCCTCACAGAAGACTCCCTCCATCTCTGAGATACTCCACAAACACTAGCTGCCTCACGAAGTCTCCCTCCATCTGTGAGGTACTCCACAAACACTAGCTTCATCACAGAAGACTCTCTCTATCTCTGAGGTACTCCACAGACACCAGTTTCCTCCACCGTATTACAGCTTTCACTCTCCTTTTTCTCTTATCCCAGTTTTATTGTCTAGATTAAATGTTCCGTGTGGCTCCTGACTCAAGAGTTCTGCTCTGGGAGCTAAAACTTACTTTTAAAGTCTTCACAAAATTGCCCCCGTTCCAGCGAGCAAGGAGCTCCATTCTTGCAGAATGTCGTTACATATAAATGCCCTGGATATCCTTGATCTGAATTCCTCCTTTTATTTTCTAATGGTTTTGTTGGTTGGTAGGCATCACCCATCCAGGGAGGTACTACCATCATATCATGAGTGTCACATATGGGTTAGGAGGATGGTAGACAGCAGCCTTCCAATGAGGTTCTAATCTCCTCTCACATGAGTGTGAAACATAAGTAATAGGGTAATAGAGAGCTCTGGAACAGGCTTATCATCACAGTTTAGGCAGAGTATAACCATCTCTTAGCAGTTCCCACTAAAGTATTTTTCTGATTTGTTGATCCTGCGTGGTGGTGGGACAGGAAGCGCCAGGCAGCAAACAACACCAGCAACAGTAACAGTACCAGTAGCAGCAGCAACAGTACTACTAGCAGCAGCAGCAACGGTACTAGTAGCAGCAACAACAGTACTAGTAGCAGTAGCAACAGTACCAGTAGCAGCAGCAACAGTACCAGTAGCAGCAGCAACAGTACCAGTAGCAGCAGCAACAGTACCAGTAGCAGCAGCAACAGTACCAGTAGCAGCAGCAACAGTACCAGTAGCAGCAGCAACAGTACCAGTAGCAGCAGCAACAGTACTAACAGCAGCAACAACAGTACCAGCAGCAATAGTACCAGCAACAGTAACAGTACTAGCAGCAGCAGTAATAGTACCAGCAACAGTGCCAGCAGCAACAGTACCAGCAGCAGTAACAGTACCAATAGTAACAATACCAGCAGCAGTAATACTACCAGCGGCAACAGTACCAGCAACAGCAACAGTACCGACAGTAACAGTACCAGCAGCAGCAATACTACCAGCAACTGTACCAGCAACAGCAACTGTACCAGCAGCAACTGTACGAGCGACAGCAATTGTACCAGCAGCAACTGTACCAGCAGCAGCAACTGTACCAGCAGCAACAGTACCAGTAGCAACAACTGTACGAGCAGCAGCAGCAACAGTACTAGTACCAGCAATTGTACTAGCAACAACAACGGTACCAACAGCAGCAGCGGTGGTGGTAACAGTAACAGCACCGACGTGGTCATCATTGCTCCCTTCAGGAACGTTACCCAGACAGTGGTGACTCAGGGTGTCTTCTTCAACACTACGGGCAGCGCCTCCCTCTGTTCCTGCACACCCGGTCAGTGCCGAGTGCTTTTACACCTGGTCAGTGATGAATGTCTGTGCACCTGGTCAGTGCCGAGTGCCGAGTCAGTGATAAATGTCTGTACTTCTGGCCAGTGATGAATGTCTGTACACCTGGTCAGTGATGAACGTCTGTGCACCTGGTCAGTGATGAGCGTCTGTGCACCTGGCCAGTGATGAACGTCTGTGCACCTGGTCAGTATACTGAATTAATTAGTTTCGTAATCAAGCGGTGGACAGTGCAGTGCAGAGAAATCTGTACTGGTACGTACAAGGTTTTACCCATGAGTAGCAGTCTTTCCATAATACTTGACACAGTGTGATCAGCTGGGATGGTCAGTGAAACGTGAATTTAGCAGTTGCTTAGTGAACGAGAAACTTCACTTGGGAGGGTGAGTGTCACGTGTATAAGACGGTGAATTGTTGTTGTCCTGCAAAAGCCTTATTTGGCCCATGCTAGTCTGTTTTACTGAGCCTACTAGATCACATTGCTGTCATGCTTAGCCTTCTTCTTCTTCTTCTTCTTCTTCTTCTTCTTCTTCTTCTTTTCTTTTCTTCTTTTCTTTTTCTTTTCTTTTCTTCTTTTTTCTTCTTCTTCTTCTTCTTCTTCTTCTTCTTCTTCTTCTTCTTCTTCTTCTTCTTCTTCTTCTTCTTCTTCTTCTTCTTCTTTTTTTTTTTTTTTTCTTCTACTTACTATCTATCATTCTTCCATTCTTCTTTCTTGTGTTTCTTTCATCTTTTTCTCTGTCTTCTACGTCAGCTGATTTTGCTCTCGTTCTCCGGTTTTTTTTGCAATTTTCTTCATTTCTTGATCTTTCGTCTTACTTCTAGTTCTTCACGCTCTTCTTCTGATTCTTCTTCTTAACTTGCTTTGTGTCACGATGCCTTCGTTCTATCTTCTTTTCTATTAATAATTACTATTAAATCTTATTTTATTCTAGTTAACGATATTATTATATATTATGTATTTTATTTATAGTCTTACTGTGTACAGAAGGTTAGGGTATCATTTGATGTTATAAGAAGTTTATGATAACAGAAATTTACGATAACATCTGTGACATTAGTGTGACATTATGTTGTGCTGTATGTAGACTCCAGAAATCGTAATAAAACGACTGCAAACAAATCACAGAACAGACGCCGTTCGAACCCATGGAACACGAGTCCTAAATTTTCACAAGCCAGTGTGTTATATCACCTAGTGATACGTCACCAGATGTCCGCGTGCCTGCCCCAGCAGTGTCAGTTGTCAGACGGGGTCAATGGCCGTCAGATGTATCAGCATCAGTTCCCATCCCCGTCTTGTGCTGCACTGGAGATGGTGTAACACACTGACCCGTGTCAGTACTGAGAGTCCTTCTCTTAAAATCTCGGAAACTGATTGTGCTTGAAGGACTTCCTATAGTTCGGGCAGCGTAGCTTCCCAACGATGATAAAGTACCCTTAGCGAGTCAGTTAGCGTAGCTTCACTATCCTCTCGTATGTACGTCCTGTCTCCAATTATAACTGGGGATAAAGCTCACTGTGTGGGCGAGAGGTTGTCAATAAATCCTCGTATTATTTTGAATTTGTTTGTCTTTTTTTTGTCCTGTCGGAATTTTGTACAATTCATCATTGTAATCAGCCTTACAATAATGAAACTTCTATGATTCTTCCCATACGTCTACAAGAACATCATATCTGTAGAACAACGTTTGTGCCTAACACAGCAACACTCCCACCATGGCGTGGGACACAGCCAGGGTACTATTTCAAGAAAATGACACTATTAAACGAAGGTGTTTCAAATCATCTGCATTCAGACTAGCACAGTAAAACATAACAGTGACATATGTTTTCACTGGCGAGACCCATATTAGACCAGAGTAAGCATCTTGCAACGTCCAACAGCTACTGAGTCTGGAGGCCAGTGAAACCTAGCATTAGCCAGTAATTCTCTCTTGCAGCGTCTCACAACTACAGTCTTGGACCAGAGGTAACTAACATAGGCCAGCAGGCCTCAGTACTCCTCAGTTATTTACAATTTTGTCACTTGATCATTTACAGCGAGAACCAAGTTTAAGCTGTAAATTGTAGCATTGTACTTAGTACAATGCTACAAATTGAAGGCCACGAGTGAGCGAAACGTGGTGCTAACGAAGACTTCACTACAGTGTCTAACACTTGGTCATTGATGGGTGTCTGTACACCTGGTCAGTGATGAGTGTCTGTGCACCTGGTCATTGATCAGTGTCTGTACACCTCGTCAGTGATGAGTGTCTGTACACCTCGTCAGTGATGAGTGTACACCTGGTCAGTGATGAGTGTCTATATACATGATCAGTAATGAGTGTCTGTACACCAGGTCAGTGATGAGTGTACACCTGGTCAGTGATGAGTGTCTGTACACCTGATCATTGATGGGTGTCTGTACACCTGGTCATTGATGGGTGCCTGTACACCTGGTCATTGATGGGTGACTGTACACCTGGTCAGTGATGAGTGTATGTACACCTGGTCAGTGATGAGTGTCTGTACACCTGGTAAGTGATGAGTGTATGTACACCTGGTCAGTGATGAGAGTCTGCGCACCTGGTCAGTGATGAGTGTCTGTACACCTGGTCAGTGATGAGTGTCTGTACACCTGATCAGTGATGAATGTCTGTACACCTGGTCAGTGATGAGTGTCTGTACACCTGGTCAGTGATGAGTGTCTACTCCTGATCAGTGATGAGTGTCTGTATACCTGATCAGTGATGAGTGTACACCTGGTCAGTAATGAGTGTCTGTACACCTGGTCAGTGATGAGTGTCTGTACACCTGGTCAGTGATGAGTGTCTGTACACCTGATCAGTGATGAATGTCTGTACACCTGGTCAGTGGTGAGTGTCTGTACACCTGATCAGTGATGAATGTCTGTACATCTGGTCAGTGATGAGTGTCTGTGCACCTGGTCAGTGATGAGTGTCTGTACACCTGATCAGTGATGAGTGTCTGTACACCTGATCAGTGATGAGTGTACACCTGATCAGTGATGAGTGTCTGTACACCTGATCAGTGATGAGTGTCTGTACACCTGGTCAGTGATGAGCGTCTGTACAGTTAAGACACAAGTGCAACATCTGGATATCTTTATTGTAGACGTTTCGCCATCCAGTGGCTTTATCAATACAGATTCTAGGACATAATAGGAAGACAGTAGAACTATATACAAAAGATGAGGTAATCAGTCCCTCAGCCTTGGAGTTAGTGTTCACAGCATCGTGGTGGATGCTGTGAACACTAACTCCAAGGCTGAGGGACTGATTACCTCATATTTTGTATATAGTTCTACTGTCTTCCTATTATGTCCTAGAATCTGTATTGATGAAGCCACTGGATGGCGAAACGTCTACAATAAAGATATCCAGATGTTGCACATGTGTCTTAACTTTCATATTTGTCGGTATTTTATACCTTTCTTGCACAGCGTCTGTACACCTGGTCAGTGATGAGTATCTGTACACCTGGTCAGTGATGAGTGTACACCTGGTCAGTGATGAGTATCTGTACACCTGGTCAGTGATGAGTGTACACCTGATCAGTGAAAGAATGAGCGGAGGCTCAGTCTTCCGCTCACTAATTCCTGACGGAGAATCCCTAGGATGAGACTCAAGTATACATACGTACGTACACGCACGCATACACACATACACACACGCACACACACACACAAGAAGACAGCAGCGAGTCATGGTACGTGGCGAGGTGTCAGAGTGGGCACCTGTGACCAGCAGGGTCCCACAGGGGTCAGTCCTAGGACCAGTGCTGTTTCTGGTATTTGTGAACGACATGACGGAAGGAATAGACTCTGAGGTGTCCCTGTTTGCAGATGACGTGAAGTTGATGAGAAGAATTCACTCGATCGAAGACCAGGCAGAACTACAAAGGGATCTGGACAGGCTGCAGACCTGGTCCAGCAATTGGCTCCTGGAGTTCAATCCCACCAAGTGCAAAGTCATGAAGATTGGGGAAGGGCAAAGAAGACCGCAGACGGAGTACAGTCTAGGGGGCCAGAGACTACAAACCTCACTCAAGGAAAAAGATCTTAAGAACATAAGAACGAATGAACACTGCAGAAGGCCTACTGGCCCATGCGAGGCAGGTTCAAGTCTCCTACCGGCTTAAGCCAATGCACCCAACCTAGTCAGGTCAGGTCACATTGACTTAAGGGAGGAACACGGCAACCGACCTGGTAGCACAAGCTATCAGGTCCAACTCACACCCACCCACATCCACTCATGTATTTATCCAACCTATTTTTAAAGCTACACAACGTTCTGGCCTCTATAACGGTACTTGGGAGTTTGTTCCACTCATCCACAACTCTATTACCAAACCAGTACTTGGGGTGAGTATAACACCAGGCACATCTCCTGAAGCGCACATCAACCAAATAACTGCTGCAGCATATGGGCGCCTAGCAAACCTCAGAACAGCATTCCGACATCTTAATAAGGAATCATTCAGGACCCTGTACACCGTGTACGTTAGGCCCATATTGGAGTATGCGGCACCAGTTTGGAACCCACACCTAGCCAAGCACGTAAAGAAACTAGAGAAAGTGCAAAGGTTTGCAACAAGACTAGTCCCAGAGCTAAGAGGTATGTCCTACGAGGAGAGGTTAAGGGAAATCAACCTGACGACACTGGAGGACAGGAGAGATAGGGGGGACTTGATAACGACATACAAAATACTGAGAGGAATTGACAAGGTGGACAAAGACAGGATGTTCCAGAGATTGGACACAGTAACAAGGGGACACAGTTGGAAGCTGAAGACACAGATGAATCACAGGGATGTTAGGAAGTATTTCTTCAGCCACAGAGTAGTCAGTAAGTGGAATAGTTTGGGAAGTGATGTAGTGGAGGCAGGATCCATACATAGCTTTAAGCAGAGGTATGATAAAGCTCACGGCTCAGGGAGAGTGACCAAGTAGCGATCAGTGAAGAGGCGGGGCCAGGAGCTCGACTC